TCCTTGAAAAGCAAAAGAAAAACTCCCTCATTGGTACATTTTATCAGGAAGTGCTAGTCTCTAGAAAATGGCATAATTCTTGGAAAAATATAGGGTCAGCCAAAGAAAAGAAGATGCTAAAAAATAATAGTAGCACAGTGACTGAAACAATGAGTATAAGTGGAGCAGATAGCACAGGATCAGGCAGGGCTTTGTTGTATGTGTACAGGGTCACTAGGAGTCAGAACCCAATCAGTGGTGTCTAATAACATCGACTTTAGGTAGAAAGAAAGAGACCTCAGGCAACAAAGCACTATTGAAGAAGAAAAATATAGGAAGTTTCACTTGTTTTGAATTAAAAACCTCATCACCACTAAAGTCAGAACAGCCAAGCACTGGTTCAACGACAAGCACACAGACCAATGGAACAGAACTGAGAACCCCAAGTCAATGCATCCACCTATAGACAACTGGACTAAACTCCAGTGCATGGTGCAAAGACAGTCTCTTTAAAAATTAGTGCTTAAAAAAAATGGATGACCCTGGAGGACATTATGCTGAGTGAAATATTCAGTCACAAAAGGACAAATATTGCATAGTTGCACTGTTGTAAAATGGAACTGACATCAGGGTTGAGGAAAGGCAGAAAAGGAGGGGAGGAATGATATATATTGCATTGAAACAGATGAGGGAGAGAACTGTTTAAAAGAATATGTGAATGCGTATTATTGTCATTACAGAAGTCCAGAGTGAAGGCTGCATAGTGAGTATGGACTTGGGGGGTGGGCGGATTGCGTAACAATGAAAGAGTTTTCCTTTCTTTTCAAGAAGAGTGAATTGGGGGCCAGGGGTGGGTAGAGAGAAAAGTGCAACAATGAATGACAGAGACCCTAAGTCTCTGTAAACTTTTATTAAAATTAATTTAAAATAATAATAATTAAAAAAATAGTGCTAAAGGGAGCTTTGGTGGCCTAGTGGCAAGAAGCTGCACTGCAATCCCAGAGGTGGTTCAAATCCGCCACTTGCTCTGCTAGAGAAGGAGGAGCAATTTGACAGTATACGCACAAAATATAATAAAATAAAGTTTAAAAAAATAAAAAAAAATTTAAAAACATTAGTGCTGGAAAAACTTTGTATCATTTACAGAAAAATGAAACAAGATTCTTACCTTATACCGTATACAGAATCTAACTTGAAATGGTTCAAAGATCATCAAAGAAAAATGGGGACAAACTTAAGGGTTCTAACTTAGGACATCAGTAGTCTATGAAACATAACCAAAACTGAGTAAATAAAAGATACACTATACCACTGGAATCTTCTAAAAAGCAGAAGATCCTTGTTGCTGTTGTTAGATGCTGTCAAGTCTAGTACATCTCAAAGCGACCCTATGAATAGCCATTCTGAAACCTGCCCTATCCTGTGCCATCCTCATCATTCTGAGACCTTAGAGCTCATTACTGAAGTCAACATGTCAATCCATCTCACTGGGGCTCTTCCTCTCTTTTGCCAACACTCCATTTTCCCCAGCATGATGTCCCTTTCCAAGGAATAGCCTCACCTCGCTACATGTTCAAAGCATGTAAGATGAAGCTTGGTCATCCTTGCCTACCAAAAGAATAAAAAGAGAACCTAGAGATTGGGGGGAAAATGTTTGATAAAGATATATTTAACAAGGAACTAATAATAGCTAAAATATACAGAAAATGTCAACACTTTCACAACAAAAAGATAATTCTACTTAAAAATGAGCAAGGATATGAAAAATTACTTCATCAAAGACGACATTCAAGCAGCCCATACCTCCATAAAGAAATATCCACCATCATTGTCCATTGTTGCCGTTATGTGCTTTGAGTCAGAAGTGACTCACAGCTGACTCTTCAGTGGGTTTTCAGAGGCTGGAAATAGCATAGGAGGAAATTGTTCCTCTTTCTCCTGTAGAATCCCTGGTGGACTTAAACAGCCTGTCTTTGGGTTGGGAGCACAGCTACTTACCATTAGGCCACCATTGTGGTGTTGTTGTGTAGCATCAAGTTGAAACTGACCCATAGCTGATCCTCCAGAGGGTTTTCAAAGGCAATAAATAAAATGGGAGGAGACTTCACATCTTTCTGTGGAGCAGCTGGTGGATTCAGACTGGGGGTGCAGTGCGACTTCTAAGTACCAGGTGACCAGAGCTTCCTGAAGATTGTATCTTTAACAGTGTTTACTTTTGCTGTCTCTATTGAGAATACCATGGACTGCTAGGAAAACAAACAGATTCGTCCTGGAAAGGGTTAAACCGGGTGGCTCCTTGGAGGC